GCAAGAAGTGTAGGGAAGTCAGCAAGGTAGGCAAGCACGCATGATAAGCAAAATCCAGCGTTTTTTTTGACGTTTCGCTTTTATCGAATTCACTTTCTCGTATTTTTACTTTGAGTTCGCGATTCTCTCCGCTTTAAAAATGAGGACGAAAAAGTTGACCAAAGAAAATTTGACGCTTAAGTGTAAAAAAAACTCAAGAAACGTCGAAAAGAAAGTCATCGCGTAAATGCATGAGGATTTTCGAAGACTTTTTTAAAGAGGATCGTGCAAAAAACACAGGGTGACAAGTTATCGTGTAAATTGGCTCTTACACAGACGGTATGTGAGACCGCTCGTGCAGATATAAAACGTCGAAATACACGATGAGACGGCCTGCGCATCGTGGGGAAAGTACTCACGATGCGCTAACATACCTTTCCACTTTTTTTTCGTGCAACCCTCCGTGAGTTGAATGCAAATGTTAAACGCAAAATCGCCTCATGTGAACACCTCTTTACTCTGCTTCTATGACCGATACTTACGGCCCGTCTCCGCAGGCAACAGTTTTTGCCTACCAACTGTCATTTTTATTGCCTGAAAAATTTTATCAGCGGCAATATTTGTGCGTGGGCATTTTTTATCTTGATAAAAGCATTTATAAGATGGCAATTTTTGCCGGATTTCATCAATTAAAAAGGTTAAAAAATATGCTATTTCACACCCAAGCAAATAATAACACATATTTTAATAGAAAACAGTTCAATTTTTGCTTTTATATTGAAATATCGATAATGTTGTCTCCACGAAGCTATCGCGCAAATGAAAATGTAGCTGTCAAAGTACCAAATTGCCTCCAATATTTATCACGATAAAAGCTCTGATAATTATTGCTTGCCAAGAGCAATATGCGGTCTCCATGGGCAAAATTTTGCCTGATAACATTATCAAGATAAAAACTTTTGCCTGTGGAGACAGCAAGGGCCAAAATCACTGTGCGTGCGTGAAAATATTTAGTTAACTCATCAGCCGTTTTCATGCGCTGGAAAATCTCGCTTGCGTGACGACGCATGCGACATCCCGCACGTGTAGACCGCAAAATGTGCGAAATATGTTTTTTATCGCATACCAAGCGGTTTGCGATTTCTCGCATGCTTTCAACTATCATTTTTGTTGTTAGACAGGTATTTTCTCGTTTCGCAGAATTCTACGGAAAATACAAATTCAGCCTGCAAAGCACAAACACTCTTTTTTGGCGACATTTTACAAATGAAAAAAGTATGCTGTGAAATGCTCAGCCGACAAAACTCTATCTCGCTTGTGAGAGAAAAAAGCGAGATCATTGTGGAGGAATGTACACAATGAGCGAGATTTTCAAGCATGTGAACACGGGGCCGGTACTATTCGCGGCTTGCGTTTTGGTACGCACGCTATCGAATTTCTTTTTTTTTTTGCGTCACCCACCCGATATTGGCTTGAGTGTGTTTGCATTTGACTTAATTGAGTACAACGTCAAATCAAAATATCACGCAGAACGAAAATTGGAAATTGAGTTAGCTTCATACGCATGCCGTCCAATTTCGGATGTGCTTGAGACAGTAAATTGGCGGCGTGCGTGAATATTAGGTTAGCCTGTTAGTCCATTGATCAGCAATATTGCGGAAGTCGTGTCGAATACAAAGCGTTTTTCGAAAGTCGAATCGTATCGAAAAGTTTATGTCATTGCCTAAATTTTCGACTCGACTAGTGAATTAAAACGGCGACTTTCATAAAATCCATCTGCCATTCGGAGGAGGGGTGTATAACAGTAGACTTTTCAATTTCCGAGACATCAAGATGCGGCACCACCAATTAGAATACACACTTAACTAAAATGTAAGCTCTAGTTTATTTTTTTTTATATATATTTTTTTTCTAGTATATTACCAGGCATAAAGAATTAATTACTAAAACTTTCTATTTTCATTCGAAAAACTACTACCAGGATTTACGCTTATCTATTATAAATTCGACTATGACTTACCCTTTTATTTAATCTGCATCCATTTTGCCTCTTAGGGCCGTTTGCACCATGTCTAGTTAACGCTAACTGGAGGTACATCCTTCAGTTAAGCACGTTAACTGCTTTATCGATCACATGTTATATGATGGGTGTCGATAACGTCGATAAAGATGTTTAACTGGGAGTTAGAGTTAACTAGACATGGTGCAAACGGCCCTTAGAAGCGTTCATTTGCAAGTTTTACTGGATTTTTGCTGGATAACTTTTTAATAGTAACTATTTGCCAGTAGAAAAACAGCTGATGGCATGAAACTTAATGCAATTAATTGTTTGTGGTGATTTTACAGTTGCAACTGACAAAATAAACTTATTTAAATATATAATAAGATGGGAAGTACTATTTTTCTTAGAAAATTGCGTCAGAAAACAAGAAATGAATCAACTGTTCATATCACCTGGTTTTGCGTTTCCGTACTTTCTTGCATATTTCTCTTATTGGGAGTAAATATCGGCTTACTCTCCGAAATTTGGTAGCAATCGCATATACATACATAGGTAAAAATCCCGTGTATTTTGTTATTGCTTTTTGGTACATCAGGATGTGAAAACGAAAGAAAATAGGAGATAATTTTCGCCATTTCGTTTCGTTGGCATCCTAAAGTTACACCATTTCGTCTTGGATGACATTCTGCTGTATTACACCCGATTTACATGATTCAAGTACTTGAAAGCAATTCTTGCTCATTCTCTTTTGTGTTTTCTATTTGCTTTTACACGTTTCAATTCTGTTGAATTCAAGTTTTTGGTTCTTTAAATGGGAAGCGACGAAAATGCCAAAAGCAAAGCAAGAAAGTTGAAACGACTTGACGGTACAGACGCATGTGTACTCGTCCCTTTTCTTCTCACCCCCTCTCTTCCACATGCGAGCAGAATTGAATTCAATAGTTGAACTGTGTAAAAGCAGTCTTACCGCCCTATTCCCACACCACTGACAAAACTCAGCGGCTGACTATTGCCTTTACTACTGCGCCTAATACTATGCCGCAAATTTATTTTAAGCTGTCGTATGACAATTGTCAGTTTTATTGTTATGACCTACTGAGTAAGTGACAACGGCGAAACAATGTTTATATTGTGTTTTAGGCGCAGTAATTGTGACAATAGTCATATGATGAATTTTGTCAGTGTTGTGGGAATAGGGCGGTTAGTTTAGAGACAAAAATATCAAATCAGCTGTTCTAGTAACACCACCTTGTATAGATGCGCCTTGCAAGCTGTTATTCTATATCACGATGTAGCGAGCAAAGGTGGCGCATTCCGCAAACCTCTACTGCGGTTTTGCCGATTTTGACAGTTTTCAACGCCTAACAGGCTAACCTAATATTCGCGGCTTGCGTTTTGGTACGCACGCCGCCGAATTTGTTTTTTTTGCGTCACCCGAAATTGGCTTGCGTGCGTTTGCATTTGAGTTCATTGAGCGAAACGTCAAATCAAAATGTCACGCAGAACAAAAATTGGAAATTGAGTTAGCTTCATGCGCACGCCGTTCAATTTCGGTTGGTCCCATACAAAATGTATGTGCATGAGAAATTTTTGACAGTAAAGGCCGGTCCACATAGAACTTTCGCGTTGGCTTTGGCGTTGGAGTTGGTTTGACAGAACGCACGTTAAAAGTATGCTTGCTACAATGAACGTTTGGCAGCGAATGCTTGGGCCACTAAATTAACATACTAACGAGAGATTAATTAATATTTCATATCAATAATTGCACTAAAAAAGATATTTCTTGCTCGCACTTGATTGAAAAGGAAAAATATTTCACATAATTGTATTTATTTGCAACAGCTGACGAGCAACGTACGCGAAAAGTTGAGAGTTGGCCATCTTTTTGCTTTGTGTTGGCGTGAGCGTTGTCGAATTTCGGCTATGTGGACGGCTGCATTTGAATTCATGTATTCATAGTCAGCTGTTGAAGCGACGCCAACGCCAACGCAACGCCAAAGTTATATGTGGACGGGCCTTAAATTGGCGGCGTGCGTGAATATTAGGTTAGCCTGTAAATAACTTTAAATGCACTAAAATTTACAAATACTTTCACTAAAACCACCGTTTTTCACATTTTCCTATTAATGCTCATCATAAATCATATACTTTTAATTTAAAGCAATTAACGTTTCCTATCTAACAGTTTCTTTTATTCTCCTATTTGGATATGCTAGCCGACGTCAGGCTGGCGAATCGATTGTATTGTAGCCACTAGACTCAAAAAGTTTACATTTCTGTGCAGCCCTTTTTGTAACACATTGAAATCAGTTTTAACTGTTTATCAATTTTATTTATTTTTATTTTTTAATGTACGTATTTCCTCGTGTATGTGGAATACAAGATTATAAAGTGATAGGCTAAATGATTACTTTTTCCCAAATTTGATGTGCTGTTTGAAAGTGTAAATGGTAGTTTGTCTAATTAATTTTTTGATTATTATATTTTCTTCCCTTCGGCATTAAAACAGTACAAAAGTTTGCAATTTCAACAAATAATGCAAAAATTTAAAGATTAAATCTAGACAAACTGACACCAGAGCCTTAGCCAATAAGCTTTGTTGGCACTTTCACTTATATATTTTCTTTTATTGAATTATACACGTTGTAGTTAAAATTATATGTATATGGATAAAAGTGCATTAAATACAACAAAAAAGTTATTATAGTAAAAATAAAAACAAAATTATAGTAAATATAAATTGTTGCCGTATTATAAAATAAATATTTGCAATTTATCCGATCGCTCGCAGGTAATTGGTAATAAAGAATTCTAAATTAAAATTAAAAAAAATACACATATGTATAGTTGCATGATCACAATCCAAAGTAAAGTCGATTTTAAGGTAGTTACAACTTTTTTGAATATGCCGCATATAGCACATACATATATGATAAAATAGTTGATACTAGCTTAAAAGCCGACTCCATTTTGATTATGCTGGGCTTATGTTTTCAATCGTACTTTTTTTATTAAATGATTAACTTTTAAAAATGTTATTTTTTATTCGTATGCATATTAAAAAGCTATTAGATTTACATGCGTAAAGAAATGATTGCCATTTTTTATTACAAACTTAAAACGAACCTTTTTGCTGAAGCTGAATAAAGTTTGCGAAAACATACATACATTCATATACAGGTAGAAACAACAAAACCAATATGTACCTCTAACTTTTTTCAACTTTGGCGTGAAAGGGTGGTTTCGATGGGATATTTCTTGCAGAAAACGAAATGACAAACTTTCGAAGAACATCAATTAACTTGAATTAATGAAATTTTAAGTTTAGTACACAGTTTAACGGAAAAAATTTTGTGTTCGATTTTCTATAAGTTCTCATATTCGAATTCTACGCACGAAGATTCCCTTAAAATCATCTCCCAAGAAAGTTGTCTGAGTTAGCGTATATCCTTTGGAATACACAAAAGCAGTACTGCACAATATTTTTTGTTAGTTTTGGTTTTTTTTTTTCAACATAAAATCGAGAAATCTACATGCATGTATTGTATGTCTGTATGTGTAATGTGTAATGTGGGTATGCATAATAACAATTATTGAACATGAAAACGGCGTATATAAAAACAGGGGTAGATTATTATTGGGGCTATTTCCATACATATATGTAAATACATGATGTTCCTCTTTTAGAGATTGCAAGAAGTATTAAAGACGCATTTTTGAAGCATATGTATGATTTTCAATAAACAATTTAAAGCGTTGTTGTACGCAGTAGTGAGCTTATCATGCTGCCCTCTTTAGCTATATCTGCTTTCAATGTCGTGTCAGTAGCAGTTGGCGTAGTCTCGACATCCCAGTCTGACGAATCCTTCTTCGTTAGTGTTTCCTTAGTTTTTTCATTACTATTATTCGCAAGTTTTTTTGTTGCAAACAGTTTTCGTGCTATTACGCTATTAGTGCTTTTCAATTTTTCAACTACCAATGTTTTTTTCGTCGAATTGTTGCTTTTTGCAATAGATTTTAATGTTTTTGTAGTAGACGCTGCTGGTGAATGCAATAATTCTTGTACATTGGCATTAGTAACCAAATTAAGCGAGATCGGATTTTTCAACATTTCTGTAGAGCATTTGCCCATTACTGAATCAGTAACAATTTCTGTGATAATTGAATTTTTGTCATTGTCCGTTATGATTGTTGTCTTCGAAGGAGACAATTTCGACTTTGTATTCTTTAAGTTTATATCTAATGGGTCTAAAGCCGGACAGCAGCACTGTGAATTCGAAGTAGTTGGTGGAGATGGTGGTAACAACACAGGCTTCTTGTGGCCAGCGAAATTATTGATTTTTTTGTGGCGAAAAATATTATTTGTACAATTTTGGTTGCACTCGGTTTGTTTCTTATTTTTTGTAATAGATTCATTTATGATATTGGAGGCGATGGACAAGTTAAATGTTTTGATATTTGTTGGGTGAGCGAATGTTGATGTTGTTGTGGTGTGTGATTGATGACAGCGTGTTGTGGCGACAGTGGTAGTATCAGAAGCAAAGACAACAGCGTCGGTATTTGTTTGGTGGAGTCACAGTCGTAAGTCAAATGCTATGCGTGATGCAATATTTTTAAATCCTATGCTGGTGCCTGCAACCGAGAAGAGAAAACAAAACAAAAACAAACAAAAAAAAAAAAAAACAACCAAAGTTTTAGCACGCGAAATTTAATTTTTATTTATTTTTTTTCTTTTTTTTTCAACTTTACCTGAAATTCGCTTGAATCGTACACCATTGAGTGATAATCGAGGCAATTTACATACTTCAATTTCCCATTGCACCAATGAATCGGTATTCGGATCACCATGTACACACCAGAGCACGAACCTCGAGTAGACAAAAGCAAGAGAAAAAAAGGAAATATTAAAAATTACCTTGTAGGAACCAAGGAGTATTTTTAATTACCATGTGAAAAACTAAAGCTATATTAAGAGGAAAATTACCAATAATCTTCAAAGTACATATCTTCAAATAATCTTCAAAGAAAATAAAACGCGAAATGAATCAAGTGGTAGAATTACTGTCGGACTGTATACTGTGAAGTGAATTAATGTAATATTATATTGATCAAGTACATATTACAAAAGGAGTAATAAAAAAAATGTAATATTTAAATTCGTCTACGTACATATGTCGTTTGAATCAAAACGGTATAAGTTATTTTATCATTTCAAAAAATAAAAAATAAAAATTAATATTTAAATTCATTTACGTATGTCGTTTCAATCAAAAGGTATAAGTTATTTTATTATTTCAATGACATGTTTGACACCAATTGGAGAATCACATTGGAGTTCAAGTTGAGAACAAGCATTTTCTCAACTTGAGAAACAGTCCTATTTTCATACAAAGAAAAATCTCCCTTTTGTTGAGAGCATTATGATCCACCACTTGAGGTACTGTTGAGAAACAACGTTGGATATTTGAAAAATACCTTAGTTCTCAACTTAACTTCAAGTTGAGCTCAAACCTAAATGTTTGTTGGGATGAACCAATTATACCAGACCACTTAAGAAGAACATTAGCCGTTTGTTTACATTTGTTCGTTGTTTACAATTTGGTGGTGTCTTTTTTTTTACTTAAATTTTCTGCATTTTCACTTTTGACAACGTGAGTACACATAAGGTAAAGAATAATTTAACACAACGGCACGATTTCTTCGTTTTCGCTTTATTTACTTCTTAGCTCTGTCAGAAACAAAAATGGCGTTGAAATTTCGACAGCCAGAAAATAACTTTTTTTTTCTTTCCTTCTTACGTGATCTTGTGTCTTTCGTTCATGTGTAGGTACGATAATGGCTGAATTTCTTTATTCATTCTGAACGTTTGGAATAAACTTTTTTGTTTACTTATTCTTTAGAACGTTCCTGATGATATGTTAACGTATATTTCAAAAGAATTCTGTTTATTCCGGCTGTGAAATGGGATTATCCGGAATGTATAAAGAAACGCAGCCAATATGACAGAAAAAACGACGAGACATATAAACTCAATTTTGGGTCGTAGATTATGGACCTGTATACCGTTTTACTAGATCAGCTAATTTCCCAAAGTTATTTTCATTCTAAGTTTGCTTGTGAATGAAAAAAATTAAAATTTTAACATGAAAAATGTTACTTTTACGCAATGTACGGGTATGGCCATGTACACGGCGTATGAGTAACATTCTTTCCAGCTCATACATATGTACGTCATCCAAAAAAATATGCATTTTCATTTCATCGTTAATACCGCGATTTTATTTTTATTTTTTGTAAAAAGAACGGGCTTCAATACTAACTAAAAAAAAAATACAAAAAATCTTTTTTGTTTTATTTGTTAATTTTCACTGTTAAAATTTGTGTTTTTTCATTAAAATGGAAATATCTTAGAAAAATTACCTGATCTAGAAAAACCGAATATAGATTCGTAATCTACGACTCAAAAATTAAGTTTGCGTGTTTCGGCGCGTTTTTTCTTTGTGTAATTTCAAAACTTGAGATTTTACCTACAGTGTTATCGATTTGTGCACTGTGTGTATTAAGTAGTAAATCTTCTTACCTCTCGCGTTGTTCATAGTCGCAGTTGTTTTGATCGAGCACTTCTCGTATTTTCTGCATTATTTGGTCCGGCATCAGAGGTGAAGTGGTTTTCATGGACCATGTAAAACGCAATACGCGCGGCTTGGCCGATTCCTCGGTCGCTGAAGCGCTATAGAGATTAAGAATAAAGAAATATGTAAATGACACACAGGTTTATAAAAGTACGATTTTGAACGAAAAAATGGAAGATTGCGTTGCAATTTGCGTGGCACATAGCCATGTAAGTCCTTCAAAAATATCGAAAGTATAAAATAAAAATATCTATTGAAATATGCCGGATGGAAATGTTTGCCACTACATATTTGAATAATGTGGCGCCTGTTCGAGGCACTTAATACAAGCGGCAATACTGCAGCGCTGACGAAAATTTGCAAGACTGTAGCGACTTCCCAACTGATAAAACTTTGCTAGAAATTCACACCGAACGTGATACTTAAATAATTCGCACAACATTGCGGTTGTGATTGCAACTCGACCAAACTCATGATTACAGCGTGGCGACGAATAAGCGTTACATAGTTTTTTCTTTTTAATTAAAGAGTCCTTTATAGATTTTGCGAAGTATTTTATTGTTAATTTTCCACAGATTTTACTTTAATTGTGTTAATTAGTTTTAAGATTTTAATCCGTATTTGCATTTGTCATCAGTGTAAACTTTTTTAGGTTTTTTTTTAGGTGTATTTTTTCTTACACTTTATATAAAAAAAAGAAAACGCAAAAAAAATGTGTAGGGTTGGTCGAATGAATGGCCGTCCTGGTCACCAGTTACGAGTATATGCGATTTCCGAGTACAGGACTTATGGTGACAAAAAAGGGGGGGAGTATAAAGGACTCAAAATGGGGGAAATTAGCCTATGGTTACAGAAGATATACAATAAATTAATCGACGAAGACTTGCGTACCGCTTGCACTTTTCTCTCGCTGGTAAAACCAAATAAAGGTTAAAATTTAAAAATTAATTAATAAAATTAAAGTAAAATCTGTGGAAAATTAAGAATAAATTACTTTTTTCGCAAAATCTATAAATTGCCCTTTTATTAAAAAAAAAAATCTGGATAACAGTTATTCGTCGCCACGCTATATACATACCAAGCATGATAAAAACATAGCAAGGTATAACCGTTCTCTCAATTTGTCGGCCATGATTTTTTTTTGAAGTTTGCCAACATTTAAAATCATATAAAAGTGAAAATAAAAAATTGAAATTGTTCGAAATTGTTGTTGCTTGAGATTGAAAATGAAAATGTGTGTGTGAGTTTGTGACTAAATTTAAAAATTAAATTGTTTGGAAACGTCAAGAATTTTAAAAGTGACTCTCAGCGGTTCTACCTTACTATATTTTTATCATGATACCAAGTATTTTTTGCGATTATATATGTATATCGTAAGCCGAGGCACATAAATACAGGTAGAAGTCAAAATGACGTTGCTCTCATGAGAACCAAACCTTTAAGCTTCAACTTGATTTTATTTTATTTTCTATATTTCATTACGCTTTAAATGTCATATCGTTTTTTTGAATGTTTGTTAATAACAAATTTTAATTAAGACTTGAATTTTTGTAGTATTGTGCGGTTTATACTTAGTGTATGTATGTGTTAAAAATGCAGCACCCGAAGCGTTGTTTTTTATGTGGTGTTAAATATAAAGCAGATACCACTAATTTTTTTAACGTGCCTCAATGTCCTTCGCGTAAGGAGCGTTGCGAAAACAGCTGTGGGGCAGAGCTGCAGCGAAATGCCTTGCTGTGCGTTAAACATTTTAAAGGAGCAGATTTCACAAATACACCGCCAAGTGCTGTTCCTATGACCCTTATGCCAAAAAGTCCCTCCAACAACACTGCAACTCATAAATCAAAAACAAAAAGCAACATACAACTTAAAAAATTTTAACTAAAGAAAATAAATATATACAAATTAACTTCAAATTTACATAAAAACGTCAACCAGTGAAATACAAATTTTTATTTTTCCCTACACACGCTCATTTTTATTTTTAATCTCCCGAAAACTTTGACTTTTGTAGGTTTGACGTCAAATTCGCTTCTACCTGTTTTTATTGTACCATGATCGTAAGCGACAATGTATGTATAGATTTTTTTTTTTTATAAATAGGGGTGTGTTCGAGCTACGTACCAATTACCGCAATATTGCAGCATGGTTGCTTTTTTGATTATATGTTGCGGATGCTTAACTTAAAATCTTCTGAAATGCTGCAGAAATTATGCCATATGAATATGTACCGTTACGGAGGGAAAAACAATTTGAATTTTGTCGTTTGCTTTGTTTATACTTTTGCGTGGCTACAATTTTATAGTAAGCGGCACTGTAAATACAGAACTTCATTGCACATAGCAGTTTTACCTGTAGTTTTAAACAAAGTTCCACCGCTATTTGCTACAGTTAAATGCTTAGAAAGCCGCTTCTTTCCCTTATCAAAATTAAATGCAATCTGCCATTATGAAACTGTAGCTGCAATTACCAAGTGCAGGACCTTTTTTAAACTCTTGTTTCTTCAAGGGCTTGTAAGATTTAAAAGTATATCAGAAATATGAAAATCACTCAAGCGGGCTTATATTCTTATTTTATCAACTAGTTAGTATAAAAAAAATTGCATTTGCATTCAAAATTGCTATTTTAGCAACTAATGGGTCATATGGAAGCATACTTTCGAAATTATTTCACTTTTTTGTTTATCTACTTGATGAGTTTTTAATTTAACCGCCTTTCCCGGTCATATATGCAGGAGTTTAAACTTTTTTTTTTTTTATTGCAAATTTTCCTTTTAATCTCCTAACTAGGTTTAAACTACACGACAAGTCGAGAAATATGTATAACAATTGATTATACAACATGAAAACTATCGTAAGCGCCAATTCTTTGATAGCATCAGTCTCTTTTATCCCGCGTTATTACGCTCTCGATTCAGTGCTCTCTCGGAAATTTGTTGGGTTATTATACACTTTTCCAGTGAAAATTTGCAGGTTCCAGTACAAATTAGTACTGACTATTTGTTACTATATAATATGATTTAATTATCACACATTACATATACATACATACAAGTAAACTGAACAGCATTGCAAAAACTTAAATTTTAATTGAAATTCGCTATTAACAAACATTGAAAGCAAAACGAATGATATTCGTTCAACCACATGCTGAAGTAGGGCGTTCTTGAGCCATTTTCTGAGATAGGGCGTTTTCGAACCGGCTGCCGAGATATTTCGATCTTCCACTCAACCGTCGATATGTAAGTTATCTTTTCAAATTAAAAAAAAATCGATCTCAATGGTGGGAGGTGGATACTGTGCTTATTTTCCTCATCCGATTTCGCTTGTGATAAATTGGAATGCTATTTCAAAAGACGGCGCAAAGTTGCCTCAAAGTCCATGTTTCGAAATATCTTAAAATATCAAACTAAGTGAGTGGTTGTTTAGTTTTTTTCTGCGAAAAATAGCGCTAGTGGTATTAAGAAAACACTGGAACTCGGTGTTTATCAATCGTAATTTAACGCGCGAATTCGAGTTTTTCAAGGACTCAACAGCGGTAGTTGAGTGATCGGTTGTTGTTGGATTCACCTTTATTTTTAATGCCAAGTTCAATAATATACATGGGTTGGTCTATAGCAGATTTTTCCTAGTCCTTTCATAGTTGAGAACATTAAAATTATTCCATACATTTTCAATAACTTATAAGTAACTTGTGCCGCCGTGCTGTGAATGATGATGGTATGAATTTTTACAGGACATCTATATAAGCTGGGCACATGGTCAAATGCTCTTTATCGGTTCTGCGACTCGATCAGCGGGACACTACTACACATTCTCATCGAGTGTGGCGCCATCTGCAGAAGACGTGAGAGAAGTGGCCGCAGCTTAGGCACATTCATTTTCTATCTCGAAATCGCTGTTGAACTTTCTAAGCGATATAGGTTTAGAACAAGTATTGTGAAGAGTAGGGGACACAATAGGTCACTAGGTCGCGGTGCACACATCATTTTAATATCTATCTATCTATTGTCTGAATGCTCACACTAGCAGATCACCCCTACGGCAAAAAGTAGTAGCGGTTATCCAAATTTGCTGAAATTTGTTATGCTTTACTTTTGCTAGGAATGAAGAAGTAAAATTTTTTTTAAAGATATCCGATTTTAATACAATTTAGTTTTTATATTGGTATCTGTAAGGCTGACGGTTGTGGCAATATACCGATTTCGTCAATTTTTTTAGATTTAGGTTTTACTGGTTAAAAGTAAGATTATAAACTGAGTGTAGTGGGAGAGGCCCTGTGCCAATCTATAGCATTTTTCATATTTCTTTATTTGTAATTAGGTGTAATACATGTAGCGCATATCAGCAAAATCAGAACACGTTTACTACTGTTTGCTACAGCTTTAATGGGTATCTTCTACGGTGCGGCGCACTAGAACTAAATTTATGGTCCAACAGAATGAAGATTTCATGCCATGCTACCATATTGCCTTTCTGCATCTCCTAATCTCAATCCGATTTAAAATGTGTATGGAATACTAGCAGTACTACTTTATGCTGAGAATTGCCAGCTTGTAAACATATTTTTTTTTTATGCAAAACCTATTTCATTGTAGCATACTCAAAACTAGTGGAGATTGGCTAATTAGTGTGCCAATTTCTTCTTTTCTTTTCCGATTGATTTTCGAAATTCGAATATTAACATTTTAAGATTATTATGTACAAGTAGCATGCTTTATTAATTGTATTCATATTACACACATAATGGATATTCTACCATACATATCTACATTCTACATATAAATGTATAAAACCAAAAAGTGAAACGAAAATGTATCAAAATTTCATGCCATCTGTCAGTATGTAGAGTGGAGAATATTCTTATTCATTAACTATAAAATACGTGATTTATTTTCAAAATTATTGTATTTGAAAATAATATAGTCACACTTTTTATTTATGTATTTCTTTATTTATTACACAAACGGGATTATAATATATTTATGTATACTTATGTATATAGTTATACTAAATTATATTACATTTAATGATTTTCTCATTAACGAACCATAATGTAATGTTATGTATGTATGTGTGTGTTTGTGTAATTTCTTTTT